CCCCCCCCGTTTCTTCAGGGTCTGGCTCTACTGAAGCGGCTCCCCCAGGTTTCTTCTCTGCCAGCGGCCCCCCTCCTGAGCCGGCCCCCAGGGAGCCGCGGGCGCACAGGCCCTCCCCGCGGGAGCGCCCTACCTGCGGAGGCGGTGGTCCAGGGCCTCGCCCTCGGCGCTGAGCAGGGTCCCCGCGCGGGTCAGGAGCTGGCGGCTGCAGCTGACGGATTTCAGCTCCAAGACGAGGAGGCCCAGGCAGAACATGGCCCCCATCTCCTCCAGCTCGCGGGTCCCGAACTGCAGGCCCTGCGGGCAGACAAGGGCGTCAGGGACCGGGTGTTAGGGGTGAGCGGCGTGTCTCAGCCTCGGCCCCCTGTGTTCCCCTCGGTNCAGGAGCTGGCGGCTGCAGCTGACGGATTTCAGCTCCAAGACGAGGAGGCCCAGGCAGAACATGGCCCCCATCTCCTCCAGCTCGCGGGTCCCGAACTGCAGGCCCTGCGGGCAGACAAGGGCGTCAGGGACCGGGTGTTAGGGGTGAGCGGCGTGTCTCAGCCTCGGCCCCGTGTTCCCCTCGGCGCTTCGCGGATGGACGGCTTGGGGGTGGATGGTTCTCGGGCCTCGTTGCCCGAGGTGACACCCGGGGTCTTGCAGAAGCACCCCAAAAGCAGAAAGGCTAGTACAGGCACAAAAGTCGTCTCCCCCACTGCAGTCAAAGCAGCCGAGCTTTGCAAAGAGCTCACTGCAGCCCCGGCCTGGTTGGCTCAGTGACTAGAGCGTCAGCCTGCGGAGGGGCAGGTCCCGGGTTCGATTCCAGCCAAGGGCATGTACCTGGGTCGCAAGCTCGATCCCGGGGCCAGGGCGTGTGCGGGAGGCAACCATTCAATGTCTGTCTGTCTATCTGCCTCTTTCTCTCTCTCTCTCCCTTCCAACCTCTCTGAAGAGCCATGGAAAAAATATCCTGGAGCTAAGATTTTAAAAAATGAAAATAAATAAAACTATAAAGAGAGCTCACTGCTGAAAGCAAAGTTTGTAAACGATCTGACTAAGAAATACCCTTTTGTTCCCTCCCACACAGTTATCAACCAAGGCCCCAGAGCTGAAAAGTGAGGGAGGATCTTTCATATATAAATATTGAAACGTTAAAAAAAAAAAAAAGCCATTTAGTCAGAACCATCTGTGTAGTTGTTCTGCAGGCGATAACGCAAGAAGGCAAAGCCATGAGACGTGCTCTATGCTACAAAGTAACAGCTAATAACAATGAAAAAAACCACTTTATTACCATTTTATTGAGCATTTACTACGTGCCAGGCACTGCTCTGAGCCCTTCACGTGCACCAGCTCGGCGATTCCCGCCAAAGCCCCACGGGGCGGGGGCACCGCTCTTTTCCAGGCCACACGGAAGAGCAATCGGACCCACAGACTCGTGCTTTGCCCCAGCCTGGCAGCTGGTCAGAGACGAGCGAGTGAATCTGACGTCACGGATCGTCAGAAAGCGCTCGACGCAGACGCGGGGCGCGGGGGGGCTCGGTCACACCGTGAGCTAGAACGTGCGTGTCTTCTGACATCGGACAGGAGCCGGGTGTGAACCCCGATTTCGCTGTTTCCCGGCTGTGTCACCGTGGACGTAATGACCCCTAGGAGCTTTGGTTTTTCTCATCGGCAAAAGGGGGTGCGAATGCGCTCCCCCATATACTTAGGCCTGTGGTTATAGGGAGTGTTTCCGAGTCCCCCCAATATCGATATTAGCTCAGGTCCTCTCCTCTGCTCCCTCGCAGACATAATTAACACGACAGAATTCAGCGCCGTCCTGAGGACTTCATGTTTGTCGAGCACATGTCGCTTGAATGAGAATCGATAGTTGAATATTATTTTTTAAATAGATTTTCCACATCCAAGTCATAGCAACCGTATAAAAGGCCTGGCCGCTGCGGCCCAGGGGGACACGGAGACGCACGCTGGAAAACCTCCAGCCTCACCGGAGAATTTTCTAGGTGCAAAGATACAGCAAAGTGGAGAGTTCTCAAGTTTATTTCAGCGGCTTGGGAATTCGATTGGCCCCGCGTGTGCACAGCTGTTTTGCTAAAGAAAGAAGGCACCGCTTCGGGGGTGAGGGAAGCCGGCGCCCCGCAAAGAGCAGCAGCGGGAAGGGGGGGAAGCAGGTGCTTAACAAGGTGTTTTTCGGAAGCCAACAGAAAAGATCGCTCTGTAAAGAGAAAGGAAAATCTCAGCGTCTCTCTGCGGGCGCGGAAGCCCCGGGGTCGGACTTATTTCCTCGGCCCTGTCTTCCCGCCGGCCCGGTGGAGAGGAATCGGGGCAAGGCCACGCCACCCCCTCGGGCAGCCTCCCCGAGGGCGGCAGGGAGGGGACAGGGGAGTGGGGATGCGAACCCGGCTCCCGGGACTGAACACCGGAGACGGTGAAGGAACTTGCACAGAACTGAGGGGGAGACACTGTGCCCCGGAAATGGGGTTAATGTGGGGGGGCCTCAGGAGGGAGCACTGAGCGCCCAGCCCGCAAAAAGAAAAGTTGCCCAATTTCTTTTAAAATGTCAGCATAACTCTGTTATTTGTAACAGCTGAGACACAGAAACTAGCTAAGGATCCATCAGTGGATGAGTGAATAAAGGAAATGTAGCCTATAAATATATGTGTATACATATATATACACACACACACAATTATATATAATGAAATGTTACTTAGTCATAAAAAGGAAACTACCATTTGCAACGTGGCTGGACCCTGGTGCATTCTGCTAAGTGAAGTAAGTCACAGGAAGGCAAATGCTGTGTGATCTCACTTACATGGGGAATCTACAAAAAAAAAAAAAAAGATACAAAATCATAGATACAGAGAAAAGATTGGTGGCTACTGGAGGTGGGAAAAATGGGTCCAAAGGCACCAACTACCAGTTATAAAATAAACAAGCCCTGGGGATGTTCTATACAGCCTGGCAACCGTGGTAAGTAATAATATTGCATCATGTGTGGGAAAGGTGCTAAGAGAGTAGATCTTAAAAGTGCTCGTCGCAAGAAAAAAAATAAAATTTGCAGCTGTGTGGTGCTGGATGTTAACTGGACTTATTGTGATCATTTCACAATCTATACCTGTGTCGAATTATTATGTTCTACACCTAAAACTAATATAATGCTGTCTGTCAGTTATAACTGAATAAAATAATGGAGGGAAATATGAGCAAAATNAGAGAGTAGATCTTAAAAGTGCTCGTCGCAAGAAAAAAAATAAAATTTGCGGCTGTGTGGTGCTGGATGTTAACTGGACTTATTGTGGTGATCATTTCACAATCTATACCTGCGTCGAATTATTATGTTCTACACCTAAAACTAATATAATGCTGTCCGTCAATTATAATTGAATAAAATAATGGAGGGAAATATGAGCAAAATCCTAATATAAAACACTAATCATTATAGCACATAAGGCAGCAAGCCAACCTCATTCATTCATATATATATATATATATATGAATGTGCATATATATGAGTGTCTATATATATATGAATGAATATATATATACACATATGAATATATATATATATATATCCTAATTTTTAAAAGTTACTTATATTCAAAAATAGAACTATATCAAAGCAATTAAACAACATGATCTAGAGAGTCTTTTTCTAAAAATGGCCTGGGGGTGACGTCAGGACATCTACTTATGTGTTTAATACATAAAGAGACCAAAAGGCAGAGGCGGGCACAACCAGGCCTTCTGGGCACTGCCCCAGGTCTGACAGTCACAGCACAGGGCCCGCGGGCGGGGACACGGGCCGGGCCCGGCTGCTGAGGCCTCAGCCCCGGAGCGGCCACGGACTGTTCCTTTCTTGGCGGGAAGTTACCTGACCTGCCGGCACCTCAATTTCCCCGTCTGCATAATGGGAATAATATAGAAATAATAATACTCCCTATCTCATGGGCCAGCTGAGACCATTCAGTGAGTTTATTTTATATATATATGTATATATNACCTCAATTTCCCCGTCTGCATAATGGGAATAATATAGAAATAATAATACTCCCTATCTCATGGGCCAGCTGAGACCATTCAGTGAGTTTTTTATATATATGTGTATATACGTATATATGTGTATATAAATATATGTGTACATATAAGTTTTAGATTAGCTGGCCCACTGCACATTACCTAAGTTTTTATTATCATATCATCGAAGGGTTTATTATCGTCACTAATAACCGCAAATACTTACATGAAACCAATGGCCAAAACCATACTTGACACACTCAGTTTTTCTTGAAACTCTGGCTGAAACGGCGGCCCACTCCCACTCCTGTCATTTATCATTATTTGACAAGTTTCAAACAATTCGATGAGGGAAAAAAAATGAGTCATAAATATTAGGGAAAAATCACATTATCATTATTTGAAGACTGATTATGTACTAAAACCAAAGGAATGAAGCGAAACAGAAAATCTATTAGATATAAGGCAAGAACTGAGTAAGTAGACAGGTTACAAATTAAATATCCAGAAAATCAATTTTCTTTCTATAAACCAGGAAAATAAATTATTAAGCATAATAAAAATCCCATTCACAGCGGCAACACCGCTATAAAATACCAAGGAACGGATTTAGGAGTAAATGCCCCCAAAGGCTCTATAATGAACCCCAGAAGTTTACCAAGAGATAACAAGGAAGATTTAAGTGAGGGCTGAGTTCTGAGAAGCGCGCAGGCTTCCCCGCTTAGCGACCCATCAGATGGACCCTGAGGCCCCCGCGCCGAGGACGGACCAATCGGGAAGCATGCCGGTGTCGCGGCCACACTGTGTGACGAGCTCCTCTGCCCAGCGCCGCTCTGCGCCCGTCCCCTCAGCCGGGCTCCCGGATCCATTACGACAACTGTTCCCTTAGTAACTGCAAACAGACCCCCGTGGTCACGGGGACAGCGGGGCTGAGGAGTGGGCCGGGCTTCAAACGTGTCCTTTGGCCAGGCCCGACCTGCCCCGGGCCTTATCAGTGCGTTTGTGCCGGGAGCCAGGATGACGCAGCAGACGGCCCGGTCCTCGGTGACCGCCTCCCCCATCTCTCTGGACCACGTCGGTGAGGGCAGATAGGAATCAGAGGCTGCCTTTCAGACCGTCTAGAACTTGAGCGCCGAGGGGAAACTTCGCAAGCCTGACTCTCTGTTTTACGGACCCGTAAACTGGCAACGCCTTGTTCAAGTTATGAGGTTCAGTACGATCAGAACCAGGGTTAGGACAACGTTCCCGGGGCACAAACCAAACGCCCACGTCCATGTGCAAGGCTTCGCGCCTCGCCTATTTAACGGAAGCTTCTGGAGACCTGGAGGTCCTCTTTCCTCCTAGGTGATATGCCCCCCTGAGTCCTACCTCTGCAAATCTCCCTTCTCTTGCCAAGAAACCAGAAGGCTCGCCCAATATGGCACGGGGGCCACGCGCAGGCCCAGCCCCGGCGTGCTCCCTGCCCGGGCTGGGCTGGGCAGCTGGCGCGT